ACTTTCTCCTCTCTAAATCTTACCCAATCTTCAAAGTCTGACCCTAGTCCTGTGGTCACCTTGAAGCTTTCTCTCACTAAGAGCAGATGTAGAGCAAGCAAATCAAGTTTACCAAAGAGAGAAACAATAGCCCTGATTATAGTGCAAACCATACCCTTAGAGAATATTAGAAAGTAGCATTGCTTAGGGTAAATTTAGCCAAAATTTATTATAATGACAGCCAAGATTGACTGGGAAAAAAAATCAGTTCTTCTTATGGAATAGTTTTAATTAGAAAGTTTTGGTGATGATCATACATTTTAATTTGATAATACTAAAGGAGATAAAATTAATATATTCTCTTTTAAAAACACAGAAAGATTTTTTAAGCAAGTCTCTTAGTAGAGGCTACTAGGTATTAACCGATATGATGTGTTTTGAATGTATTAAGGCTGAGGTGACTGGAAATCAGGGGAAGGTTTCTAATGGACAGAAGGACACACATAGAGATACACATTTAAGAATCAGTATAGATGTTACATATAGGAAAAAAATGAGCTAGAGATAAATTTTTAAAAGAAGCTCAAATATTGCTTAATTTTCTACACAGAGATGAAAAGTCCAAAAGAATTAAAGAGTTCACATGGTTCTTTTGCAAAAATAAACAAAAAAGCCATTAAGAAAATGTAAACATATTTTGAATCATGTTTGCTTTCCTACTTCTATAAAACCATTATGAGAATGGTCTATGCATTCAGTGAAGGCATACTTGCTGGAAGCATGAGACCCAGGAAATAGGCAGGTTTTCAACTATTTCCTATAGTGTACCATATCTTTTCAGTCCTACAGTTGATTGAGCATGGTAGAAAACTGAAGCTCTTCCTCTGTCTGTTCCACATTAATTTATTTAAAAGGAGCATTTGATTTAGCAGAACAAAATGAAACTCTACATTCTACTTTCAAAAGAGCTAGCTCCCATGCATTTGTGATATAATAGATGTCACCACATCTATAATTTTATTCAATGATCCATTGGTGTAAAACAGGAGAACAGATAGTAACCTAAGATTTTCCATTACCATGGAAGTTGCCTTGGGCAGCTTACAAAGAAAATCAGGATTCTCTATTAAGAGGAAGATTCCTTGAATGCTTCTCTTATTTATTCAGATTGTATTAATTGAATGAAACTCTTGCTTTTGGCCAAGCATCCAAAGTAAAATCTGCAGCAATGCAGAAAAAATAGTTTAACAATCAACTCTGAATATAACAGTGAATCATAAATGGTAAAACTGACAGCCTGTTGATTTAGTCTGAATAGACAGATGATAAGGGGGAAAAAAAGAATGAGGAGGGGGACAGAAGACAAAGAAGAAGAGAAGGAGGACAAGGATGAGGAGGAAGAGAAGGAGGAGGACAAGAATAAGGATGAAGAGGATGAGGAGGAAAAAGAGAAAGACTTGGAGGAGAGGAAGAGTAAAAGGAGAATGAAGAGGAGAAGGAAGGGGAGGCAGGAGGAAAATGGGTTACAGGCCCTGCACATTACCTTTCAATAGTGATCAAAAATGTCACAGTAAAATTATACCTACCTTCAGATAGTAGCTACATGTGAAATTTTTTTTAAAGAGGTAAAAAATGTTCAACCATAACATTTTTCATTGCCCATGTAAATATTTTCCATATTCTTATTTCCTTTTCTCCCTCTTTCAATTTAGTCTCCTAATTAATCTTTTCCTCAGTTCTCCTTCCTAATATATTTATGGGCTTTTCCTTAGTCGATATAGTTCCTACTTTTTTCTTTCATTCCCCCCCCTCCCAACTTAATTACGTTCGATTCTGTTTCATTAAATTTTAACTCCTGGTCCCCTTAGCAATTCATTTTAAACTTTAAAAACTTACTCAGCCTCTACTTCAAGTACAGCCAATGTAATTTCACTCCTATAAATTGTAACTGGGATTAAAACACTCATGATTCCTTTTCTAAAGAACTTCAAATATTAATAATCTTCCAAGAAGCTTGAGTTCACTCTATTATCCATCAGTATATTTAAGCAAACAGTCTGATCAAATAAAGTATTTAATTTTTTTTCTTTATTGTTTAGAATTCCTTTCACTCCTGCCCTCCCCGTTAGAAACTCACCCTCTTGATTTACTAATAGTGTAAATCGATCCTACCTTGAAAGAAGAAGTGGAAGTTATATTTTGTTCCCTGAGGCATAGTTAAAAATTCTGGGCCAAAGCTTCAGAAAGTGCTCCTTTATTCTTTGTTAATTACAAAGTAAACATATCCTTAGCCGCTTTCAATATAGGGTTTCTTTGATGTGCGTGGAGGGTGGGGGAGTAACTTATGGCTGAGAGAGAAAAAGGAAGCAATTAGTTGGGGCTGGCATCCTTGTTTGGTTCTAGTACACTGTCTGCCCGTTGCCTTTTGCACATTGCTCATGCAGATGAGGGGCCGGGGTTAAGTGACTTGCCCAGGGTCACACAGCTATTAAGTGTCTGAGGCCAGAATTGAACTCATGAAGCTGAGTCTACCTGACTCCAGCACTCTATCCACTTCACCACCCAGCTGCCCATGAACACAATTATTGAAGGGTAAAAGGAGTCATTAAATATTTACTGGATATTTATGATGGGCACAGTTGTGAGGAGCTTGGAGTGTTGCCAGATGAGAGGTGGAAGAGGGCACACATGTACTGTGCCTAGCTCTGGGGGAACAGCAGACACAAGGAATTGCACGCACCTACATTTCCACCAGCTTGTTGAAGGCAATGGTGTCAAACTCAAATTGAAATATCAATCTCAATAGAATCAATAGACACAAACCATACTTAAGGATCTCTGAAGGCCCGATATTAACTTGTAAATGCACATGTTTATATATTTCTTTTTGTATTAATACATGAACACATTAAAATCACATAGGAACTACATTTTAATCTGGTTCAAGCCACTCAAGAATATTGTGGATGGCATGCAACCGAGGTGCTGTGTGTTTGACACCTGTGGTTTAGGTATACTAGGTGTAAGAAGAAGCCTGGTGTATGACTTATTTGGGGGTTGCAGAGATTGTCCTTTGATGATGTAATCTGGATGTAGCAGACTGTTGGTCCTAAGCTGACTTCGCTCTCCCACGCCCCAGGAAGCTCGTAATTAGGAAAACCTCATCACATGGCAAGATCCCATCAGCCCTGGTACTCTACTTCTACCCTCTGTTCCTCTGATTAGAGGGTGGATTGGTGAATGCCAACTTTCACTTAAGGAGGGAACTCAGCTTGGAACATTTCATTTCTTACCTGGCTGCATTATTTGGGACTTCTTCTGACTTTTCCACTGTGCCCCCATATAGGATACCTTCCCGAAGCAACTCTTGCTTTTCAGCTTCCTTTTGTGTGGTGTCTTTCCCCATTAGATTGTAAGCACTGTCTTTTTTCCTATTTGTATCCCCAGTGCCTGTCACATAGTAGGCACTTAATAAATGTTTATTGACTGACTGGTAAGAGTAGACAGTGTGACTTAAGTTGGAGGAAGGCTTCTGAGAGCACAGTTGAGTTGGGGAGTTTCAGAGCAGCATGACCATAATATTTTGTGAGTCCCCTTTTCTTGTACAGGCATTGTGAGAAGTGTAAGTAGGAAATTTAACATCTAGGACAAATTCAGTTGAATGGGGAAGGGGGCTATAGGACAGAATAGAGGTTTCTCAAACTTATTTGGCCTACCAGTTCCTTTAAAAAAAATTACTCAGTGCCTCCTGGCAATGTACTTTCTTTAATCCTTTAATGGTTTTTAAAAAAATTTGTGTCATTTCAAAAAATATAAAATTCTTTTTTAAAAAATTTGTGTCATTTCAAAAAATATAAAATGCTTTTTTTTTAAAAAAAATGACACATCTTAAATATAATATTTTATTATAAATTTGTGGGGTTTTTCCTGCATTGAAATTTTGATGATGCAGTATTGCATCATATAATTGTATAGTATCACATCGTAAACAAGTCATTACACGCACATCTTCCTACCTATGCATGCTGGACTTTTGGGCAATGTGAGCTGGTCTGCTAACACTTGCTTGTTAAGACCTGTCAGGGGGCTTGACTACTTATTGGTTATAACTTTCATTTTGTGTTTATGTGGAAAATAATGTAATCACTACAACTTTAACTCTGTAACACAACAGATGAAATATGTATGAACAGTTTTAGAAAATTTTCTTATCTTTTCTTCTTTCCTTATGCTTCCACCACCCCTTTATTTTTATTCAATGCCTCCCCCAGTTGCACCTGAGGCTATTACTGGCCCCCTATCGTTCCAGGTGGGGGGCCCTGCCCCCAGTGGCAGTATTGACCACTTTGGGAACCTATGATCTAGAAGATAGTCTAAGGTATGATTCTTCTTATATGTGGATGAGACAGAGTAGAAGCAAATCAAGGGAGCTGAGGTTAAATAACTGAGAGGCAAGGGTGTTTGGAGAGAGCAGGGGCTGGGGAATAGAAGACTGTGGAATTCCTTTTTGTCATTTTTTCAGTTGTGTCTGACTCTTCATGACCCCATTTGAGGTTTTCTTGGCAAAGATACTAGAGTACTTTGCCATTTCCATCACCAGCTCATTTTACAGATGAGGAACCTGAGGCAAACAAGATTTGACTTCCTTGGGGTCACACAGCTATTGAGTGTCTGATGCCAGATTTGAACTCAGGGCTTCCTGACTCCAAGCCCAGTGCTCTTTTCACTGTGCCACTTAGCTGACCAAGAGTTCCTTAGACGATAGTAACAAAAATCTGTATAGGATCAAGTGGATTTTTCTATCACTTTCTTCCTTCAATTCTATACTTTTTTTTCTCCCCATTTTCTACAGTTACATTCTCCCCTCACTTCTACAACTCCTTTTGCTAACATAGCACACAGACTTCCCCTTTCCTTTCTGCCACTCTAACAATACTGTTACATACTGACTTGAATTGTACTTGATTGTGAAGCAATGGGAATGGGTTGCTAAGGGAGACCATGGAATCTCATGCCATGGAGTTCTTTAAAACTAAGAGGAACATCTGTCTAAAAGGGACAGCTTAATCTGACATCTGCTCTGAGGTAGGAAAGAGTTAATTACTTCAAAAGGGCCTACAAACTCCATGGATTCTAGATTTTTAAATAAGATACTCCTTCTAATCATTGTGGGGGCCCATATTTGAAACATTTCTAGTTTGTGGATAGCAGTTTGACAGAAAGTAGGCATAGAGCCAACACATCATATTTTATATCAAGATAAGGTCAAACTGGGTACATAATTTAGATATAAAGGGGAATATCATAAAAAAATTAATAGTTACTTGTCAGATCAATGAATCAAGGAAGAATTTATGACCAAATACAAGATAGAGAATATAATGGGAAATAAAATGAATATTTTGAATTATATAAAATTAAAATGTTTTGTACAAACAAAATCAATGCAGTCAAAATTAGAAGAAAAGCAGGAAATTGGGGGGGGAATTTTACATCAAGTTTCTTTGATAAGACCTCATTTCTCAAACATATAGGGAACTGAGCCAAATTTATAAAAATGAGCCATTTCCCAATTGATAGTCAAAGGATATATATAGGTAATTTTCAGAAAAAGAAATCAAAATTATTAATAGTCATGAAAAAATGCTCTAAATCACTATTGATTATAGAAATGCAAATTAAAGCAACTCTGAGGTATCATCTTATGCCTATCAGATTGGCTACTAGGACAGAAAAGGAAAATAACAAATGCTGGAGGAGATATGGAAAAATAGATACACTAATGTATTGTTGGTAGAGTAGTGAACTGGTCCAACCATTTTGGAAGGAAATTTGGAACTATGCCCAAAGGACTATAAAACTATTCCTACCCTTTGACTCAACAATACCACTACTGTATATCAAAGAAATCAAAGAAAAAGGGAAAGGACCTATACATACAAAAATAAACAGCTCTTTTTTGTGTGATGACAAAGAATTGGAAATTGAGGGGATGCCCAGCAGGGGAATGATTGAATAAGTTATGGTATACAATTGTGATGAAACACTATTGTAAGAAATAAAGGGGACAGTTTTAGAAAAGCCTGGAAAGATTTATTTGAACTGATGCAAAGTGAAGTAAGCAGAACCAGGAGAACATTGTACACAGTAATAGCAACATGATAATGATGATCAATTATGAAAGACTTAGTTACTCTAATCAATACAATAATCCAAGATAATTCCAAAGGACTTGCAAAGAAAAATGCTGTTTATATCCAGAGATGGAACTAATGAACTCTGACTACAGATGGAAGCATGTTTTTTTCATTTACTTAATGTTTTTTTCCTTTTCTTTCTTTTTTGGTTTCTTTCTTTTTGCAGCATGGCTAATATGGAAATATGTTTTGCATGACTTCACATAATTGATACCTTATTGCTTTCCTTTGCAATGGGTGGGAGAGGAACTGGAGGGAGAGAGAGAATTGGGAACTCAAAATTTAAAAAAATTGATGTTTAAAATAAATAAAGTATAATTATTAAAAAGAAACATTCATGAAAGCTTAATAATAAAATTATTTCTTGATTTCAAAAAACACCCACAAACATTTGGAAATATTTGGCAGGATTTGCCAGAACTAAAATGTGTCAGGAAAGCCTTCAAGAATCCAGGGCTACCTTCCACATTATGACAATGTATTAAAATGTAACTTTATCATAGTGGTCTAATATATCTGTTGTTCAAGGACTAGTATAGCTATAGCTAAGTTCTGAGGAGCTTAACAGTTTGACTGCAGAATGATGGAGGTATTTTTCAGCCACAATAACATTCAAAGACTAGTAAGTTGTAGAGAGTTGTAATGAGTCAGTAAAGGGAATAATCTCAACAACACAATAACAGATCCTTGAAGTATCAAAGCAAATATTCCTAATGTAGGAAAACAGCAAGAGTTTTCCCCAGGGCCAAAATACAGCACCAAGATAAGAGTTTTTCCGCAGGATTATTCAATCCATTCAATCAATCAGAGAATCTGACAGTTGGAAGAAACCTCTGCAGCCACCTAGTCCAATCCGCACAGAAAAGAAATCCTCATCATAACAAATCCAACAAGTGGCCATCCTGACTCTACTTGAACTTCTCCAGAGATGGGAAACACCCCTCAAGGTAGCCCATTCCACTTTTGGAACCCTCTAATTATTAGGATGTTATTCTGATTTCAAGCTGAACTTTGTATCTTTGCAACTCCCACCCATTGCTCTGCCCTCTGGGGACAATTAGAACAAGTCTAATCCCTGTGTGACTGTCCTTCAGATGCCAGAAGATAGGTATTACATCTTCTTTTCTCCAGGCTAAAGGTTCCAAGTGACTTAAATCAGTGCTCTTATTTTGTGGACTTAAGGTCTTTAATTACGCTGGTCACCTCCTCTGGACACTCTCCCACTTATCAAAGTCCTTCTTAAACTTTTGTGCCTAGAACATAACATAATACCCTGGATGAGGTCTGACCAGGGTAGAGTACAGTGGGACTATCACTTCCCTATTCCTGGAGGCTAGTCTCTATTAATGCATCCTAAGATTGCATTAGCTTTTTTGGTTGCTGTATCAGACTAATTAATGATTCATATTTACCTTTCAGCCCACTGAAATTCCCAGATCTTTTTCAGAACAACTTCTTCTGTCCATGACTCCCCCATTTTATAGAATGTTTTTGTTTTTGCTACTGATAGACATATACAATGAGATTTAGAATGCAGGCCATGAGATTGGAGGACAATGACCTAACCTCTTTTGTTTCGTTTTTGTCCTGGTTCAAATTCAATTTCATGAAAGATCCAGAGGAATTGAAGGGCTAAAGAAAACCAAAGTGCTTCACACCCACATAACTTGAATTGGGGTTTCTTTGGCTGAGTCTACTAAGTGGTTGTTATCCTTCATTCTCTAAGAGGAGCAAAATGACATCACTATGCTAGAGTCAAATTACAGTGTGTCTGACTATGGCAGATCAGACCAATGCGAGCCCAGACTGTTCTGCCATAGGTCAGGCACAAATAAGTCTGTGTGAACATTTGGGGTGAATTCTCTAAATTTGTGCTTCACATTTCTTTTGAGTTGCTTCAATTCTGCTTTGCTCATAGAGCACAGCACTTCTCTGATGAGGGCACGCCATGCTGGGCGGTCCTGTGCCAGTGTCTCCCATGTCACACAATCAATTCCAAAGTTCTTAAGAGAGACCTTGAGAGTGTCCTTGTGTTGCTTCTTCTTACCACCATGTGAATGCTTGTGCTGTGTGGGTTCTCCATAAAATAATCCTTTTGGCAAGCGTACGTTTTACATTCGAACAATGTGGCCAGCCCATCAGACTTGTGTTCTCTGAAGTAGAGTTTGAATGTTTGGCAGTTTAGTTCAAGAAAGGACCTCAGTGTCTACTATCTTATCCTGCCAGGTGATCTTCAGAATCTTCCTAAGGCAATTCAAACAGCAGCAATTCATCTTCCTGGCATATCACTGGTCCAGGTTTCACAAGCATACAACATTGAGGTCCTAGTAGCCTGAGCCTGCTAGGGCAGTGGTGGAGAACTTGTGGCCTTGAGGCCACACATGGCAGTATAGGTCCTCAAGCGGGTCCTTTGATTGAATCCAAACTTCATAGAACAAATCCTTTTACTGAGGGGATTAAGTTTGGATTCAAAGGGCCCACTTGAGGACCCAGAGAGCCACTTGTGGCCTCTAGGCTTCAGGTTCCCCACCCCTATGCCAGGAAATAGCATCCACATAAAGGAATTAAGGGGGGGGGGGTGTAAGGAATTTCTAATCTTGAATAAGATAATTGTCTGGGACAATGGATTGCAATTCAAAACCACAGGTAGTTCAAAGAAAGGACTTAATCTTAGTCTGAGGATATTATGACTATCTTTTCTTTTTTTCCAGATCTTTTAGCTGAGTATGCTGCTTTATGCCTCAGCAATGACTAAAGGTCAGTCAGCCTGTTTGTTTTAGGGAGTCAAATCAAGTTAATAAGCATTTAGTAGGTTCCTATTATGTGCCAGGCATTGTGCTAAGAGCTAGGGGTACAAAAGGGGGGCAAAAAGCACCCTGTCCTTGAGGAGCTCACAAGCCAATAGAGGAGACTTAAGGAGAGGTATATCATAATGGATGGGAGCCAAGATGGCTATAGAATACCCTGAAGAGATGAAGCCCAGAAGTTGGCAGCTGAAATAAGTTTGGGAACCACACACCCTGGGGAAAATGCACAGCATTAGAGCAATACTCAGTAGAGAGCAACTTGATGGTATGGTAGACAGAGTGCTGGGCTTGGAGTCAAGAAGAACATAGTTCAAATCCAGCCTCAGACACTTACTAGCTGTGTGACCTTGTGTAAGTCACTTAACATGTTTACCTCAGTTTCCCCAACTATAAAATGGAAATAATAATAGCACTTTCCTCCAAGGGTTGTTGTGAGGATCAAACGAGATAATATTTGTAAGGTACCTGGCACATAGTAGGTACTATATTAATGTTGCTGTTATTATTAATGACATTACCAAAGGACATCAACATCCCTGTAGTGTTGGAAGTCTGAGAGGGCTTGACCATATATTGTTCCCTGTCTGTACGTCCATGGGTGTCCCAATCACATGGATTCCTAGTATTTGCCTCTTCATACATATTCCCTATCCACAAGTATTCCCTATCTTTGTTCACTCTGTGCATATGCCATCGTCACACATATTCTCTATGTAGGTGTCCTCTCTCACTAGTGGTATGGTGTCTGTACCCCATATGTACATGTGGGGAATCTTCAACTGACACTTTATTTGCTCTGTGAATGTCTTTTGTTTGAACTAATGTGTTTGCTGGCTGGCTGATAAAAGAAAACATACTATTGAGGGCGTGTGAACTATGGATATAAGTGGGTTCTGATGCGCAGAGTGCCTTGAATCTGGGGTAGCTTTTTGGGAAGATGTGAGAGAGATTACTTCAGAGGCTACATTTCTAATATGGCCATCAGCATTTCCTATTATTCATTGACAAAAATGTAGTTTTCCATTCACAAGGCCTAGTGATGAGCAGACTTCAGTCGAGCATGTTGAAATAATAAAAAAAA